GTTATCAGATGAATGAATGAATGAACAGTTAGTGAATGAATGAGTGACTGAATGCAGTAGATAAGCCATTATCAATTTTCCCACCTTCCCTAATGTGTGAAACTATATATTTATGTGTTATGGACTAACACATGCTAAAACTATCAAAGGCTTATTTATAGTTTATTCCCAGTCAGTGAAGGTTCAATCAGTTTTAAAAGTAAACAAGCTAATTTGGAGGCACAAGTATAAGTATTTGAGAATCAACCACGCAAGTAGGTGGAAAGTTAGTAAACACCCACAAGTTACCATCCAGGGCTGCAGTAGACCACAATGGCCACTAGAGGGAGCCCCACAACCTTTCAAAGAGCAGCATTAGACCAAAAAACCAGGGCTGCCAACCTGTTCTTCCTCGTTCAGTCATGACCGAGGAAGTCAAACCGGAACAGGCCTGAATTTTTAAAATTTGGGTGAACCAGAATGGGAAAAACTACAGGTCAAAGCCCTGCCAGAAACTTAATCTCCTCTTAGAAAACAAGGGCAGCATACGCGTTGCATAGCAACCAAATCTCTTGCCTGTCGTACTTTGAGCGGAGTCTGAAATGACAGTACCCCATTCAAAGATGGCAGCCCACTGCGCCGCTTTGAATGTGTGCCACTCTCCACAGTCCTGCCAATAATCCAATTTCATGCGTTAGGCTCCTAAAAGGGCTCACTATGCCCTTCTGAGTCTGCCATTCCAGCGCTTTGACCAGTAATTTTTCCCGTTCCAGTTGTCATTCCAGATCACTCACATTGTAAAAATTCAGGTCTGTTCCAGTTTTGCTTCGTCGGCCATGGCTGAACCAGTTCAAACTGGTTCGAAGCTCTGCCAAAGACACATCCAGTACGGTGGTGTGCTGTGGGCACTTCCCAACATAGGACACCGCCGTGAAATTGCTATTGCTGCCACCCACCAGAACAAGCTGGAACAAGGTTAGAACAGCTCTTGGCTAAGCAGCTGACTTTTTCCAAAATGGTCCCACCTCTCCATCTCAAATTTTTCGCATCTCTTTATGTACAATCCATCTGGTCTTAAAAATTAAATGAAAACGGGATAAGTGTGTTCTCTGTGGACGACAATGAAATCTATTAAAAATCTACCCAAAAAGAAATCCCAACTATGACCTATGTGAATGAGAATGAAAAAATCGGTTTTTTAAAGTAGCGTGCAGTTATTTACTGCGCCCATCGACATTTTTGTAAAAGAACATTTCATTGTTGGTGTATTCAATTTCATTTCCCCAGTAAAGAAACTGAGAGCACGTGCTCGCTGGCTGGGAAGTCACATCAGATGGAATTATGAGTCCATCGGTCAGGTTTCAAAGGCTTCATGTGTAACTGAGTGTAGGAGCAAAAGAAATTTCCCACAAACTCCTTCTCTCAAATGGCCTGAATAACCTTGTAAATATTTCCAGGGCCGTTATAAGCCACAGATGTTATCAATAGCCAGGATCAGGCCAACTCTAAAAGATCTGGTCCATAAATGATGCTGCCTTAAGAGTAAGTTTTTAAAACATTTGAAAGGAAAGCAGGCTAGTTTCCCTTTGAAAGGCTGTAAAATGCCCAGGCCTTAACAGCCTGAGCTTAGACTGTGAAAAGTGATCTGCTGCTCTGGGCTTGTTTACGGTTCTTTTTCTGCAGCACATGGGATCGTAGGCAACCTCCAAGACAACAGTCAGAAATTAAGGGACAGAGACTGTGCTTGAAAAACAGAACAATTCAAGACAGCAACTCTAAGAATAACTGCCTAATTAAAGACGAAAATTAAATTAAGTAGCCTAGTGAGGGCAGTGGTGGCTCAGAATTCTCACCTTCCATGCAGGAAATTCAGGCTCGATTCCTGGCCAATGCACCTCACGTGCAGCCACCACCTACCTGTCAGTGGAGGCTTGCATGTTGCTATGATGCTGAATAGGTTTCAATGGTGCTTTCAGACTAAGACAGACTAGGAAGAAAGGCCTGGCAATCTACTTCCAAAAATCAGACAATGAAAACCCTATGGATCATAACAGTCTGATCCTGTTGTGCATGGGATCCCCATGAGTCAGGGGCCAGTTCCATGACACCTAAGAACAACAACAGTGAGATTTCCAGGGGAGAGAAAGTTCAAGAATCTGCATTGTTTGGTGACCTTTGGGAAGTTCTAATTGGCTAAAACTTGCTGATTTCCATGGAGAAACAGATAAGAAACTAAGAAATTGCAGAGCACTGGGGCTGGTCTGTGTTTGCAGTCGCAGCCCCCGCTGCTGAACGTGCAGAAAAACCTAAAATTTCAGCATTAACTGACACAGTCCTTACAAGATGAAGGTGGCTGGCTGAAAACCTTCCTGAGTGAATTAAAATCCTGACTGCAGGCCCTGGGGGCGACAGTAGGTGTTGCTGAAGCTGGAACCAGACCTGATGTATAAAGGCAGGGAAAAGACTAGAACTTCATTTTTTTTTTTTTAATTAGAGGGTTTTAGTAATCTAATTATATCCTAATTATGAGAATGCCACTTCTTCCTTCAAAGGACTCAAGCATGCTTCTGGAACATTCTCTGTGAATGTCCCCTCATTTTGCAGTTTTAAAGTGAGAGGTGGAGACTCTCAGAGCAAGTCAAAGTGACAGGTCTGGTGTCTGATTTCCAGCTCGGTTTCTTCCGACCAGACCACACCAACTCCTAGCTCTTGAAATAACCCCCAGTGGAATTCTCCCCTGAGGAAAACCATCTCCCCAATTATGTGGAACGCCCTCGCTCTGCTCACCCCCTCCAGCCTGTGCCATTTCACATCCTGACAGGCAGTCTATTTTCTTTTCCCACTCTCAGCCAGGGAACCGCGATGTCCAGGCGTGGAGACAGGGTGCGGGTGTGGATGTTTGTGAAGCGTCCCTAACCCACCCCACGCCGCTGGTCTGCAGTCAGCCCCGTGCAGCCACCCAGACCGCTTCCCTTACTTCCAGCTCGAGATACCACAGGGCAAGTCATTTAACAGCCTCATTAAGGTTCCAGTCACAGCCTCACCGCAGTCCCCTTCCTGGGTACCTGGTCACCCCATTAATAGCTGTAAAGATCCATCAAGCCCTCCCAGCTGAAAGGCACCACAGAGGTAAAACTTCTAACTATATCATCCATAAGCTCTAAGGCACTCTTCCTGTCATCACCTGAAGGTAAATCCACTGCCCACATGGACAGAAAACCCAGCACCTCGGCGGCCCATCAGCCCCAAATGAGCTCCCTGCAGCCGCAGAAATGGCACTCCACTCTGATGGGAGCTCTGCGTCCAGGAGGGGAAAGGAGCCCGCGCTCTGACCTGTGACAGTTCACTTAAACTGTGAACTTCCATGTCTCCCACCGACATGCAGGTCCTGCAGCCTGGAAGCCCCTCCAGGCCAGGCCTGGCAACTCGGTCTGTCACTCAGAGCCCCCGCCCAGCCCGGCCCCCACACCGTCTGTAACTCCAAGGCCCTGCCCAGCCCGGTCCCCATCCCATATGTAACTCCAAGGCCCCACCCAGCCCGGTCCCGGCCTCTGTCTATAACTCCGAGCCCCTGCCCAGCCCAGCCCCCACCCCGGTCTATAACTCCGAGCCCCTGCCCAGTCTGGCCCCCATCCCACCTGTAACTCCGAGGCCCTGCCCAGCCCAGCTCCCATCCCGTCTGTAACTCCGAGCCCCTGCCCAGCCCGGCCCCCGCCCCATCTATAACTCCGAGCCCCTGCCCAGTCCGGCCCCCATCCCATCTATAACTCCGAGCCCCTGCCCAGCCTGGCCCCACCCTGGTCTATAATTCCGAGCCTCTGCCCAGCCCGGCCCCCACTGCATCTATAACTTCAAGCCCCTGCCCAGCCTGGCCCCCACCCCATTTATAACTCTGAGCCACTGCCCAGCCTGAGGTCCACCCCATCTGTAACTCTGAGCTCTGAGAAAGGATGGCATCATGCAATGATGGAAAGATGAGGGAAAGAACACAGTCAAAAGGCAGCCTGAAATCCCAGAGACAAGTGTGTCTCATGCCCTGCACTCCCTCCGGCTGTTTGAAGGACTTCCCGCCCCTGCCTCCCTTGGGACACACTGAGGCCCTTATCTCCTCCCTCAGCAAAAATCAAGACCCCACTGACAAGCTCACCGAGGCACTGTCTGGGCCCACCAAACATTTATGAAGCATGATGCCTATCAACAGGGGCTGCCTAATAACAGTGACATACCCACACAGCATCATACGACGCTGCCGTGAAGGACAAAGCCGCGAGATGCCGAGGGTGCCCCTCCACTGCCACTGCAACGCGTGTGTCCTCTCCCTGGTTGTCACGTTAAACCTATGGTGTCTTCTGAATTTTTATGTATTTTATATATATATATTTTACCTCTTGAAAGTAATGTTTTCAGCAGATCTTCAGGTGACAGAAGAAATTAATGTTCTTATGTGTTTCAAGGATCTGTTCTAATTGTAAAAGGAATGCCTTATCCTCAAAGGGCTTCTAATTGTTAAATTACCCGTTACCGATTGCCACTGAGTCGATTCCAACTCATAGCGATCCTACAGGACAGAGTAGAACTACCCCATAGAGTTTCCAGGGTGCACCTGGTGGATTCGAACTGCCGACCTTTTTCTTAGCACTTAACCACTACGCCACCAGGGTTTCCAGTTGCTAAACTGGGGGAGATCTTTACAAGCATAGCAGGCGTGGTTCCTTCAGGAGGGAGCTGGAGAACAGCCCCGTGCCCAGATCACACTCCCTCCTCTGTTCTGGCAGCAACACCAGTTGCCTTGGAGGTGGCTCTAACTCATGGCACCCCTGTGTGTGTCAGAGTAGAACTGTGCTCCGCAGGGTTTTCAGTCACTGCTTTTTCAGAAGTAGAATGCCAGGCCTTTCTTCCAAGGTGCCTCTAGATAGACTTGAGCCTCCAACCTTTCAGTCAGCAGCCAAGCATGTTAACAGTTTACACCATGAAGAACTAGGAAGAACTAGACCGAAGTGTACTTTTTCCCTCCTACTCACGTTCTGGAAGTTGGCACTGCTGAAGCTGAATCTTGAGCCAGATGTTGACTCGCTGGCCCCAGGCTCCCGGGGGCTCCACCTCCCACAGGCGCCCCCGCTCCTCCGGACAGGTCAGCAGGAACTTCCTACAGACTGAGAACAGGGTGCATCTGTGAGTCAGAGAGACCACGCATGGCCCAGGTCACGCGAGGCCACCGCTCCTTTCTGTCCTAACACTAGCCCACTTGGGTTCTTTCTGTAGCACCCCCTGGCTGAACCCTACACTGCCCAGCTCCCAGCTCCAACCCATGCCACGCTCACACCACCCTGTTCCCCACTACTGTGAGCACGTTGTCCTCCCTGCCACCATCACCTCCTGCCTCGTCCACCGTCCCTCCCCTCCTCTCCAGCTCCTCTTCTAGGGACCCTTCACACCAGAGCCTCCAGTGCTGCAGACTGCTTCCGCCACATCACAGGGCAAGTGCTTCCATACAACAGTGCCACGGATCCTGCTGACCAGGCCGCTTCCCTGCAGCTGCACCCTGCTCTGGTCCCTGGGCCACCACCAGGCCTCTCCTAACATTTTCAGGACCTGGAGTGCAGCTGGAAGCCCACCAAGCACAAGTCCAAGCATTGAAAAGGTATCAACCAAACCAGCAGAGGGTGAGCCATCACATGCTCTGCTCGCCTATCCTGACAAATAGAACTTCCTAACAACAGGCACACCAGTTGCAGATTTAGAATGCTTGGATTCCTGGGGGTTTGGCACCAGAATGTGGCAGGAGGAAGAGAGCTGGCCCCCAGCCCGAGGCACACCCCCAGTCCCCTGCCACCCCCAGCTCTTCCCCAAACCTCAAACGGCCCTCTGCACACAAATGTGGACACTGCTCACTCCCCCCACACCCAGCAAAAGCCCAGCCTGGGTCTGGGAGTGTGCACATGGGGCGTGGTCCACCCCAGGAGAGCAGCTACCGGAGGAATCCTGGGTCCTGGGCACCCTGAGCCTGGTTTAGTGGGAGCAGCTATGCCCTGTGTGAGCATTTGTTCTTGGGCCCATGGATTCCTGCCCTGTGGTGAGGGGGTGTGGTTGAAAGAGAGTGGTACAGTGTGGGGCCCAGCAGGAGCCTCTCTGCCGGGAGGAGGGGAAGGGCTGTGCTCAATAAATGCCAACCTGCCAATGCAGCTTGGAGTCGGACACGCCTGGGCACGCCTGCCTTGTCCCTATCCTCTGCTTGTTCACCATCCACACCCAGGCACCATCAGGGGCTGCTGACGCAAAAGCTCAAAGCCCCAGGACCCTCACTTGGGCCTCTGACACCCCAGAGAGGAGCAATGTGATTTAGCATCAGCCCCCTCAGAGATGGGGTGGCCAGGATCCCCAGGACCCCTCCAAAGGGTCTTCACATGCAGCACCAGCCAGGGGCAGCTCCCATCCCCGCTGGGGAAACCCCCGCAACCACAGAACCTGAAAAGCTGAGGTACAGCACTGGGGCCCCGCTCACTCCGATGAGGGTCTCAGAAGTGAAGTGAGGAGGAGAAGGGACTGGCCGGAAGAGGGTGTGGACAGAGCAGCAACCACCCCGGGCCTGGGACCCCAACATCCCCAGGAAGCTGCCCAGTATAGGGAGCCCAGCCCAGTGGTCTTCACAGTAATTCTAGGCATTTGGGCATTGAGTAATGGAGTTTGGAAAGACACAGAAATGACTAAATCCACGTGAGGGAAAATATGTTTTCACCCACTTTTCTTCATGACTTCAGAGCAGCAGAAGTTTCTTTGCCTTCCTAACCTCTCTCCCCTTTCTGTTACTCCCCCCATACCACAAGGACACTGGAGACTCATAACTAAGGGTCCCAAAACCTCTGTACTAAAGGAAACGAGGCCGGACCCCACATGAGGTGGGTATGTTTCATGGAAGTATAATGGTTAAATTTATGTGACAACTTGGCCTGGCTGTGGTGACCAGCTGTTTGGTCAAACTCTAGTCTAGATTTTGCTGTGAAGGTATTTAAAATCAGTGCCTTTAAGTAAAGTAGGTTATTCTCCATAATGTAGGGGGGCCTCATCCAATCAGCTGAAGGCCTTAAGAGCAAAAACTGAGGTTTCCCAAGGGAGGATTCTGCCTCAAGACTGTGTCATAGACATCCTGCGTGAATTTCTGGCCCATGACCTGCTCTACCAATTTCAGACTCAAGACTGCCAGGGTTTCCAACCTGTCACCTGACCTAAGGATTCTGGACTTGCCCGCCCCCACAATCACATGAGCCAATCCATAAAATCAGTATCTATCTCTTTCTTTCTCTCTTTATATATATATATATATATATAAAATATATATATTACATACACACATAATTATAGATTACATACACATATATATTACATACACATCTATATACATTACATACACACACATAATATATAGATATTACATATCAAAACCAAACCAAACCCATTGCCATGGACTTGATTCCAACTCATAGCAACCCTATAGGACAGAGCAGAACTGCCCCATAGGGTATCGAAGGAGTGACTGGTGGATTGGAACTGCCAAGCTTTTGGTTAACAGCTGAGCTCTTAACCACTGCACCACCAGGACTCCTCACACACGCACACGTATGTATATATTACATACACTCACACATATATATTACATACACGTTATATATATATATTACATGCACACACACATATTACATACACACACATATATATTACATACCCATGCATATATATAATGTACACACATGTATATATTGTATATACACATTATATATATTACATACACACATAATATGTACATTACACACACACGTTATTTATTGGGTCTGTTTCTCAGGAGTACCCTAAGACAGAGGGTAAGGAGTTCCAGAGCGATGATCTCAAGAATCTGCCAGCCTTGTGATATTTAACAAGAGAGCATTCTAATCTTCCTCTGGGAAATACGTGTCAAGACTTTCTCCTCCAGGACTTGAAACTTCTGGCCTGGGCAGGGAGAGCAAGGAGGATGGAGGAGCTCTCTTGTACAGTAAGCGGCTCACAGGTGCTCAGGCGCGCCCTCTCTGTCGCTCCTGCCTTCCATCCAGCTACAGGCTCTTGGCAGCTCCCAGTCCAAAGGCTGAAGTATGAACAGGAGCTTTCATTGAAAGATCCCAGCGTCCAGGGCCCCAGCAGCAGCAGTTCTCCTGATTTCTGCTTCTCTCTGACACTGTTTATTTGCTTTTTATTATTTCCAAATCCAATTATTTCCCAGGTTGGGAAAGGTTCACCTCTTGTAATCAAACATAAAGTCTTGGTTTGGGCTGAAGCAAGAAGAGATTTTTCAAGAGGAAGAAAACTCGCCTGCACGTCACGGTGCTGGGCCCCCGAGCTCCACTGCACCACCAGACCCTCCCAGAACCGCCGGAGCGCACATGTCATCCGTCACCGTCACCCACACGCGCCGACACCGTGCTTTTACCTTGGAACATGGCAGGAGAAATGGGCCAACTGACTCCCAGGGCCTCGTCTTCTCGGAAGGTCTTACAGAAGTCCTGCAGCAGGGCCATCCCCAGACCTTGGCGACGGTGCTGCCGCCGCACAAACACTGTATCGAAGACCGGCAGCACGTAGCACGCCGCGGTGGCGTCGCCACACAGGCTGCCTGCGGGGAGGAGACACATGCAATATCCCTGGGCCTGCTACCCACCCACCATGGCCCCGCGGAACCCTCCCACCCGGATCCTAGGGGTACCTGGGATCAGCCACGGTGTGCTTCACAAGCTACACAGCCAGAGATGAAATAGCAGATCCTTCCAAACCACCAGTCCTCCAGCTGACGGATCTTTTTTTTTTTTAAACACATGCTATTCACAGCTATCGGGCAGCCACTAGACTACTGCACGTACAGGAAAGGGTCCGGGGACCCCAGAAGGCTGCTTGCCCACCCAGACCCCTCAGGTCCCTCTCTTTCCTGCAGTCAGTTCACAGGGAGCGTCTGGACAACATCAAAGATCTATCTGCAAAGGTGAAACCTGAGTGGGGGAGGAGTGGGCTGGGAGACCAACCCAGCATCTCGAGGGTGTGGACTAGTGTGGACTCTAACAAGGGCTAACTGTGTCTAATTATGGCAAAGTGCACTGACCCCAAAGAGACACAGCACCGGGTCCTACTCCCCATCAAACATTGGTGCACCCCACCACTTCCCCACCATGAGCCTAACTTCACTGCAGCCGGTGTCAACACCAGCACAGTGCCCACTTCTGCAACAGGAACTTAACCTTGCAGCCCATCACCTTTGTCATCACCCTAACCAGAACATCAGCTGCAAAAGGAGCCTACTGCCTCACCTGGCTCACTTCCAAAGTGCACAGGTGCCCATGCCCCAGATGCAACAGAGGCCAGGGAAAGCAATATGGATCATATTTAGCTCCTGTAGGAAGAGGTGTTCTTGTATCTGCCAAGATTCATAAGGGGGTAATTTCCCAAACCAAAAAATGATTCAGATTCTAAGAAGCCAGACTGAACTGCAAAGATGCATATAACTGTGGTTTAAAAATCTTAAACTTCTATGCATCAATTTGTCCCAACCTACCTGGAGCAAAGGAGAATGAAGAACACCAAAGACACAAGG